CCTTTCTCGTTTGTCTCCGGTTTGTGAGAGAACGTGTCCGGGCAGTCCAATGGACCGTCACAGGTCTGCATTGGATAGTTTCCGTGGTCCGAGCAGCACGATCCGAACGGGTACATAAGGTTTGGTGGTCGTGTGGATGTCAAGAGTTGAAGATGCCCTAAGAAAAACGGAGTGAGGATGCCATCAAGGGTGGTGTGGAAACCGGAGTGAACACTCCGACAATGGCCATCATATTGCCTCAGATCACTTGGGAAGTGGAGCCGTCAGCTGGGGAGGTGCATGGCTCGAACGCACTGGTGCGTGAAAGATTGCGGGGTTTGGCCACATAGGAGACAGACAGATCCATCGGCTTGGCTGTCGTGGAAACCCACGCCCACGCGGCCACTCGTGAACCCATACGAAATGGAGGGTGTCAGCACCGACACTTGTGAAGTGGAGGCATTAGTTTAGGTTGGGCGCAGCCTTGTGCTCAGTGAGTATTTTAGAGGTTGAAAACCAAGAGCGTGGGCTCTTACCGCTTAGACCTCTTACAATGCGAAGGTGCTTAGATGATGTGCTAAATATATTAAATGTCTTAGCAACTCAAGTCTCTAATGCAGATGATAAGCTTTTGGGTGCTAAACTTCACGCATTTAATTAGTTATAGACTCAGAATTATGCTTCCACCTAGGTACACATGCTTAGCACCGTTTCTTTCTAGAGTTATCATACTGCTCTCTCTCTCTTTTCTTAATTAGCAATGCCACATCAGATTTTTTGTTTAGTTGGCAACCTTAGCACCTGTACATGATAGAGCATTGGGAGGGGTCTTAGAAGACAGAGTTGTCGGCTCAGATTGTACATGGGGTGGAGGCTTGTGTGGAGGCCAGACCGACGGCTCCAAATCTGGCCATCAAGAGGTAGGGTGTTATGGATGTGCGCAGTCTCAGGACAAGGTGTTGCGTCGTGTGATTTATAGATTTTTGATTGCTTGTTATTAACTAGTCTTCTTTGAACCAAGGTTTGCTCGGAAATACCACGGGCTGTGCTCTTCGACTTAGATGTCAACAAGATATGACTATGTAGCTACATAAAAACAACCATTTTTCCTTTAACTTATAACAAAAAGCATATTTGGCGTTAAACTAGCTAGAGATATCCGTGGCATCACTCTATGTTAAACAATAATCTCTCATTCGGTGCAAGACCTATTTACGAGATCAAGATCTTGATCAACTCTATCCCACTACCCACCATTAAGAGCACTCGTTGACATTATATAGAAATGTGCGTCAGGTCCTTTGATTCCATATGTACACCTAGGGATGTGGATGAAAGATACGAGATAATTTTGTATCACCCTATGCGAAGCATCTTTCAATTAGTGGCAACAACAGATCAGGA